GTCTCACTTTATCGCCCTTAGTAAAGTGCTGTGGCGTCACCGCTCACAGCAACCTCCATCTCTTGGGCTTAGGTGATTCTCTTGCCTCAGCCTCCCCAGTAGCTTGGACTACAGGCACTTGCCACAACACCCGGCTATTTTTTTTTGTTGTAGTTTGGCCTGGGCGGGGTTTGAACGCGCTACCCTCCGTGTATGGGGCCAGCGCCCTACCCACTGACCCACAGGCGCTGCCCATAAAGCTGAGTATTTTCTATCCCTGGGGACTTGTAGTTATTTACCCATTTAGATTAATGTATTTAAAATTTCAATCTCAGATCTTAGAAAAAACCACAAAGCCCCTTTCTTTGTTATTTAACACCCTTTGGTGTATTGATCAAAACGTCTTCGTAGGCTGTTCCCCCCAACATTCCTAACCCTGATTTATTCAACCAATATTTATTGAGTGCCTGCTTTGAGCTATGCTTGCTCTAGCCACTGTATCTTCAGTTAAATTCAGTTTTCTTGTCAACCCCCGCCCATTCCTTCATACATCCCTCATTACCCAAATCCTAGACAGTGATAGTTCTGCTGGTGATACCAGAATTTCGTCTTGGCTCCTGGCTGGCTCGCCAAATCTGATACTGGACTTTCAGTTCTTGGTCTTGGTGATTTGAAGAATAAATCCGTGGACCACAGATCGGTGGCAAGACAGAATTTATTTACAGAAAAGAATACAAAAAAACACTAAAGTTCCTGGTAGGGAGAGAAAACCCTAGTCGGAAGAGAAAAACTTTCTCTGTTTTTCTCTCTCCATCTCTCTCCGTTTAGCGGTATATATAGGTACATGGGTGGAGGCCAGGAAATGAATGGATACAGTTCCGTTCACTGGGGGAAGGTGAATGAACGTACTAATGAACGGACTTAGTCCATTCACGGAATTGAGTCCTAGGAAACTTACATGAAATTGACCTAGGCATAAGAAATGGGGATTTGGTATTCAGTCACAAGTGCAAAGGGGAAGGAGACACCAAGGTGTCGGTGTCTCCCCAGCAGTTGTGCGGTCCCTTTGGCTACTGGAGCCTCTGGTAGGGGAGGGAGGCTCCCCAGCCTTACCTACGCTCCAACCCCTGGTTCCTCTGCCACGGGACCCACACT